TGGAATTTTTTTGTTTTCATATGGTTTCAGGGGTAGTTTTTGATGGGAAACTCGAATTTTGTGTTTATTTTGTGCTAGAATGATTGGAAACCCGTTAAAAAGCCAAAAATTCCTTGGTGGCCGAGTTTTTGCAATTTCTAGGCCACCAATGTCTTAGCGTCTAGCTGGGACGCCTACGGCGCCTCAGAGGACGTCTCCAGACCAGTTTTTTGCGAGGAATCCGATTTTCGCGTCTATTTTTTCTAAAAACTCTCACCTTATTGAATTTGGATACTTTTTCCTCTGGACTCTTCGCCGCCCATTTCTTGGCTCTTGCCTCCATTGATTCGGTTTTCGATGCTTTTGATTTATAGTTTAGCATTACAACTTTTCCATCAAAAAGTCCCTGGTCCGTCTGGGTACGGTCATTTAGTGATTCCTCGTCCAGCGGATCGATATTCTGATATTCTGATAACGGGATTCCGCCAGAAGAGGAGGAGGCTCCGCCCCCTCCGGATCCTCGTCCTCGTCCCATTTGGAGCAACGAGAGAGTAGAGGATTAGTGAGAGACGCAGAGAAAGAGAAAGTTAGGCGAGTTGGGAGTTTAGGTTGGGTTGAGTTGGGAAAATCTGAAAAAAATTCAAATTTTGAAAGAAAAAGTAAAATTTGGAAAAAAAAGAAAAAAAGCGAAATTTCAATAAAACAGGTCCTGGAACGAAACCTACAGTAACACAAAAAAAAATTTTCTGAAAATCAAAATTTTTTTAAATAGGGGATTTCGATAGGTTAGCAATACTTTTGCTTGTATATAGCCGCAAAATTCGAATTTCCCATCAAAAACTACCCTAGAAACTAGGAAAATCTGAAAAAAACCATGATGGCCGAGTTTTTGAATTTTCTAGGCCACCACTTGGAAAGTTAGGCCACACCAGTTTTTGATCGTTTATAGGCTAGTTTTTCATGAAAAACTAGTTTTTTTCAGTTAGTTTTGTGTGAAAATAACGAAATTTGTCGAAAAAATGGGATTTTTAAAAAATTTCCTTTTTTCCAAAAAATATTCCGAAAAAAACTTTTTTTTTTCGAAAATTTTAATTTTTAGAAAATTCTGAAAATTCGTTTTTTTTTCTCTATTTTTTCCAGGCGAAAAAATTCGATATTCCTCAAGTTCTTTCATATAAAAAATTGATTTTCCATCCTAATAGTAAGCTTAAAAATCAGCCTATTCCCCCTGAAAATTAACGGAAATTATTGATTTTTTATCCTAAAAATTCAATGGAATAATCTATTTTTAAATAACATAGCAAAAAAAACACACACACAAAACTGCTGACACAATCCATTTTTCGCTCACACCAACAGACAGAAAATAGAGCGAGAGAGAGTAGGCAAAATGAGGAGGGTGCGAGAGAAAGAGGACGAGGTGAGAGATGCAGAGAAAAGTGTGTGGAGGAACTCAAACGGGGGGCAATGAGCGTTTCACTCTCGTACATATGATGTAGGGACGACGGGGAATCAGAAAAGAGAGGCGAGGCAAGAGAGAGAGTATTGGGAATCGAGAGACGCAGAGTACATGTATGTTCCGAAGCGAAGCGCGAAGCAACGCGTTATGGAGGTGTTAGGGGTGAGGAAAGAGGAGAAAGCGATGATGGAGGTCATGTGATAGTATTGGAAAGGCCCTTTTTAGGCCTTAAAAAGCCTAAATGCGCCTAGAAAAGCCTGAAAGAAGGCATAGGCTTAAAAGAGCCTAGGGGGGTTGGCTAAGGTATTATATAGACGAAAAGAGGTCTTGGGAATCTAATGAAAGGCCTGGACTTTCGAGTTCTCCCCAAAAATCTACACAGGAATCCCCATAAAAACAAGAAATTCCATGGTGGCCGAGTTTTTGTTTTTCCTAGGCCACCACTTGTAAACTAGGCCACGCTCGTTTTTTGATGGTTTCTAGGCTAATTTTTATTGGCAAATCTAAATTTGATGTTTGTTTGGTGTGAAAATGTATGGGAAAATCGGCTTTTTGGGCCTTTAGGCTCCGCCCACTACAGTAACCCAAAAAAGCAGATTTTCTATTCATTTTCACACTAAACAAACGTCACATTTGAATTCGCCGTCAAAAATCAGTTCAGAAACGAGCAAAAAACCAGCGTGGACTAAATTTTCGAGTGATGGCCTAGAAAAATCAAAAACTCGGCCACAATGGAATTTCTAAATTTTTCTTGGTTCCCGGGGCGAATTTTTATGGGAAACTCGAATTTTGTGATCTCAACATTCGTAAATCAAAGATAACGTCAGAAAAAATAAATTGAAAAAGAAAACTTTTTTTTTCAATTCGCTGAAAATCTAAAATTGATGATTTCTGTAAAAAACAAGAAAGAGAGGGAGAAAAATAAGTCGAAAATGTTTTTCCTCTTCTTCTTCTTCTCCATATTTTCTTTTTTTTTTTTTGAAAATAAGAAGAAGAGGAAGAGAGACGAAATGAGCGGAGAGACGCAGACAGATGCTATTTTTTAATGTTTGACATGTTTTTTGGTGCTAGACAAGTCTCGTATTTCAAAGTTAAAATAACAAGAAAGGAGAAGAGCTCAAAAAGGGAAAAGAGCTTGAAAATAGCTAATTTCGATATATGACAAGTTGTGGAATGCATGTTAGACCCTTCTAACGTTTGTAAACCATCAAGAAAGTAAAAAAAAACTGGAAATTTCTCGGGAAACCCCTTCTAATAAATCCTGAAAAATCATGAAAAACTCGACTCTAAATTTGAAAATTAATAGCTCCCGCCGTTTTTTGTTCTCCCTAGAGCGCGCTTGCTCTTCTCTGCGCATCTCGCTCTTACACACTCTCTAGTCTTTCGCCATTTTTTGTGCGAATTTCGCGAATTTCCGTCTTTTTCCCATCAAATTTGCTTGTTTTTCTCGGGTTTTCCTCATTTTTTTTCAGATTTTCTTACTCTAAATGTCATCCGGTCCACTGACGCCACAAGAAATCGCCGCAGGCAGCTCCTACCCCCAACCAGTGATCGTACCGCTGGATTTCATCGAAGAGCAGACACAAGGAGCCAGAGATCACATGGAAATGGATAATAGTGGATTGTATATTATGTCGAAGGCGGTGGTTGGTGGAAAATTCAGGAAATTTCGAAAAAAATTGAAGAAAATTGACAAAATCCGAAGAATTTCCAAAAAAATGCTGAAAATCGATTATTTTCAGCCGATTTTGGGCTTGAAATGACTGAAAAAACTGGAAAATTAGCTGGAAATGATATAGAACGTCTCAGTTTTGTTTAAAAATGTGATTTTTGAGATTTTCCCAAATTTTTGGTCAAAATTCAATTTCCACCTATTTCAGCTAATTTTCACTCAAATTTCCTGATTTTTGGCTTAAAAGTCTTTAAAAAATTTGTTGAAATTTTCCAGGAACAATTCATGCGGCAGCTGATGCGTCAATCCACTGAAAACGGTGTTCGAGAGTTGGAATACGATGGTCTCGCCAGATTTATCGCGAATTCCGAGTTCGCAGCGTTGAAAGGTGGGGAAAGTAGCTTTTTTCAGCAAAAAGAGGTCAAAAAAATGGCTTAAAATGATCTAATAAGCTTTAAAATTGGTTGAAATTTCTTGAAAATTCAAAGAAAAATTCAAAAAACAAAATTTTTTTTTGAAAATAGTTTTTTTTTCGAAGTTTATCATTGATTTTCAAGTGATAAAACTACGAATTTCGAGATTCCCACAAAAATCTACCCTAGAAACCTTTGAAAATCGAAATAAATTCCATGGTGGCCGAGTTTTTGAATTTTCTAGGCCACCACTTGGAAAGTTAGGCCATGAGCCGTTTTTGAGGTTTTCGAGGCTAGTTTTTCGCGCGAAGTCTGAATTTTCGGTTCGTATTCATCCTAAACTATGGAAAAGTCACTTAAACACTGAAACACGATTAGGCTCCGCCCACTTTTCAGATACAAACTTGATTTTGAACAGAAAATACTCATTTTTATAAAATGTTCCTTATAAAAATCGGATTCCCCATCAAAAACTACCCTAGAATCCCAGAAAAAACTAAAAATTCCATGGTGGCCGAGTTTTTGAATTTTCTAGGCCACCACTTGGAAAGTTAGGCCACGCGCTATTTTCGATCGTTTATAGGCTAATTTTCGAAGGCAAATTCAAATTCAATGGTAGTTTTGTGTAAAAATGTACAGAAAACCAGATTTTTGGGGTTTCTGTAGTGGGCGGAGCTCAAAATCTCATTTTGAACAGTTTTTTGATCGGTAATCTTTGCTTTTTTGAATTTTGAGATCCCGAAATTCGAATTTCTCATCGAAAACTACCCCCGAAACCAGAAAAAAAACAAAACATTCCATGGTGGCCGAGTTTTTGAATTTTCTAGGCCACCAGTTGAAAAGTTAGGCCACGCTCGTTTTTTGCCTGTTTCTATGCTAATTTTCAACGCTTAATTCAAATTAAACGTCTGTTTTCAGGTTACTGTAGTGGGGCGGAGCCTAAAACCCCATTTTTTTCAGATTTCTTCCCGGAGCGAATCGAATTCGGCAAATTAATGGCTCATCTCTACCCAGCGGACCCCGGAAATCAGACACTACAAACTACAAGTTCTAATTCGAATTCTTAACTCATTCTTCTTTTTTGCACATTTTTTTTGTACATTTCTGTCTCGATAAAACCATTTTTAACCTAAAAAATCCAGTTTATTTCTCAAAAAGCTCAAACAATCAATAAAATCGCAGTTCACTTTAAATCGACGATTTTGACAAAATCCTTATAATCCGGAGGTGTCACAAAGAGCACTTTTCCTTGGAATGAGAGCAATGACAAGGCGAAAAAGGCGGCGGAAACGACGATGGCTAGGACAACGCCGCCGGAACCACACAAAACGTCGTTTTTCTGAAAAGTGATAAGAGATAAATGATAAAAAAGTGCATAAAATTATTTAGCTCGAAATTTAAGCCATTTTACTAGTTTACAGCTTTTTGATAGCGATCTTAGGTTTTGAGATATGCACCTTTAAAGTGTCTTTGTGGGAGAAAAGTTTAAAGGCGCATAGCTCAAAAACTAGAAAAGCTAGAATAATTTGATGAATCGTAAAAATGTTTGTCTTGAAATTTCCTACATTTTTGTACCTTTGAAATTTTCCTAGCTACTGTAGTTCTTGAGATATGGACCTTTAAAGATAAGACGCCTCGTGTTTCCAACTATGCTAACTTTAAAAGCGCATAGCTCAAAAACTAAAAAAAGCTAGACTAAAAATTTAAAAAAACTAAATTGGTAGGCTGAAATTTCCTATATTTCTGTATTTTTGAAAAATTTCTAGCTACTGTAGTTTTCGAGATATGCGCTTTTGAATTTCGATAAGCGTAAAGAAGCTAGAGCGGCAGGACCCGCCTCATTTAAAGGTGCATAGCTAAAAAACTAGCGAAGCTAGACAAAAATTTTTAACTATCATTCTGTTAAACTTGAAATTTCACACATTTTTGTATTTTTAATTTTTTTTTCTAACTACCGTAGTTTTTGAGATATGAGCCTTTAAATTTTGAGGAACACCGAGAAGCAGGGTCACCAACTTTAAAGGCGCATAACTCAAAAACTGAAAAGCTGGACAAAAAGTTTAAATGGCAAAATTGTTACGCTGAAAGATTCCTACATTTTTGTACTTTTCAAATTTTCCTAGCTACCATAGATTTCGAGATGTGCGTCTTTAAACTCAACGCATTTGTTCCAACTACTGTAGCCAACTTTAAAGGCTCATAGCTCCAAAAAAAAGTACTCACAAGTTTTTCACGAAGTGCCTCGATATTTTTACTAGTCATTGGCATCATATCCGATGATAATCTTGGCGCTTTCACAATTCCATACAACGATGGCGCAGGGGCTCTGCAAAATCGGGTTTTCAGGAGTCCAGTGGAGCGCGATTGCCACAATTTTACTTCTAAACGCCTCTGAACAAGGCTAATACGCTCTACTGCACATGTTGACAATTTTTCCCATTGTCTGGGAACAATGACAACCTGAAAGCGAGATAACCCAGAGTCTCCCGATTTTCCCCATAAAATCCCTCTGGATTATTCGCTTTAATCGGGTCATGTTCATTCCCCTTCTTATCTCTCTTCGTTCTCTAATTACAAGTACATTGTTTCACTCAAATAATATTAATATTATTTGAATACGCGCCAACGACCGCGTCGCAGCGGCCGCGCCGCGCCACTCGGCACTGGCGTCCGCCGCCCGTCGTTACTCAGTCTTCGCTGCGGCGAAGCGAGTGTTCGTATCTCACCAAGAGCTGACCGCTATGCGGTCCCGTTTAACCTTTTTTAGCCTTTCAGCTAGTTTTCTACGTTTGGCATCGTTTTGGTTTGTTAGCACCAGTTTTAGAAGGCAGCAAGGTTTCCTCCGGTAGCTCCCAGGAGGTTTTAGCCCTACACCTTCACTTCTTTTTTGTTCTTGCTTTCTTTTCCCAATTCCGTTGTCTTTGCCGTTTATTCAAATCCCTTTCCGTTAATAAATTTGGATTTGAATACTTTGTGTACTGTTATTTCCTTTGCACCGCTTATCTTACACATTTGGGGGGAATTGGGGGTCATTTCAGGTTGCTGACACTCTCGGGTTAGGACGTAGGATCGGTCTCGACTGAGTGAGGATCCGCTGTCAACAGCACATGTTCCTAAAAATTCTCAGTGGAGCGCACTTACTGTGAGTCCTCTTGTTCCTCTCCGCCAATTTTACTCCCATTTGCTGATAATTGAGACACTCCGCCAGCCATTTGGCCTTGAGAAGCGGTCGATTCCATTTTTTAGGTGAAAAAATCGATAATCGATCGATTTTTTAGTTCGGAAAGTGCAGAAATCGCAGTTTTTGTTGGCTGGGAAGCCAGCCAACAGTTTTAGCCACGCAAATTGCTCTAAATAGGTGGAAAAAATGTGGATAACTGACAAGAACAGCTGGCTGGGCAATCAATTATCGATTTTCTGGCGAATCAAAAGAGTCGACAAATGTTCTGGTTTCTTCTCGTCAACGCCGTCTCGCTGTCAACGATTCTGTATCAATGCGCAACGGCGAAACGCCCGAATCAGCAGAGGAAAAAGTCGCAAAAGGTTGTTTTAAAGGCGCATAGCTCGAAAACTAGAGAAGCTAGACAAATTTGGTCAATTGTGAAAATGTTTGTCTTGAATTGCTATACATTTTTGTATTTTTTGATTTTTTCTAACTATCGTAGTTTTTGAGACATGCGCCTTTAAACTTTTGGGGACGCAGAGAAGCTAGCGCGATGGGGTTTATTAACTTTAAAGGCGCATAGCTCGAAAACTAGAGAAGCTAGCAAAGTTTGGTCAATTGTAAAAATGTTTGTCTTAAATTTCTACACATATTTGTTTTTTTCAAAATTCTCTAGCTATCGTAGTTTTTGAGATATGCGCCTTTAAAATATACGTGTTCGTTTCGGCAGCGGTGCAAGCTTTAAAGGCGCTTAGCTCAAAAACTAGAAAAGCTAGAACAATTTTGTCAACTAGAAAACTGTAGGAAGTTTTATGCTTAACATTATTTCATTTAAAACGTTTCCCTAGCTTTCCTAGTTTTTGAGATACATCTCTTTTTTTAGTCCACCAAATCTCGCAAATCGTCCAAATCGAGTCGCAGTGGAAAATCGAGCAAATCCACCAAATCCACTAGTAGATCCGGAAAATCCAGTCGTAGTGGAAAATCAAAATCGTCAAAATCCAGAAAATCTGGAAAATCCTACAAGCTGAAGAAGAATCCAAAAGGGAACAGTGATGTGAGTTAATTTTTTTTTTTTGAAAAAAAAATTAGAAAAGTTTCAAAAAGTTTTTTTTTTTCGAAATTCCTAAAAACAGCAAAAACATGCAATCGAGCATCACTGAGGAAAAAGGTTTGCAGTTCGAATTTCGGCTTTTTTTCATTCTTGAACAAAATTCATTGATAAAATATTCTAATTTGAGAACGTTCGAAACAGTGAAAAATTCCAAAAAATTCAAAATTACAGAAGAAGGTTCATGCCGCAATTCTGGCTGACCAGAAGGCCGCTCAAGACGCCATCAATCCAACTCTCAACGAAATTGCATCTGATAAGCAGATTCTGGCAAAAAATGACGATAGAAGTCATAAGGTAACCTTTGAAACGTACAGTAACACTCTATTCTCACTTTCAGCGCAATTATCTCAGCTACTGTAAGAGCCCAATTTTTGATATTTCTCATAGGAACCGAGATAATTAAGCTCAATAATGACGGTGTTTGAGTACTTATAAAAAAAGATGCTACCTTTACACTGCCAAGGGGGGCCCGCGCTTCCATCTTTGACCTAATTTTTCTCGGTTACTGTAAGAGATATCGAAAATTTGTCAACTGATAAAATGTTTACCATAACATCACCTACATTTTATTAGTTGGAAGATTTTTGATATCTCTTATATTAGGTTGGCGGGAAAGTCTTTGTCACTCTGTTTGTTTAATCACTGTTCTCGTATATGGAGGCTGTGTATGATATCGACTCTAGTGAATAACAAGGTGATAAGAACCTTCCATATAAACAAGTCCCCATTTCCTTCCCTGCTCCTCGTCTGTAATTGAAACGATATGTTTGTTCCCACTGCTATTCACATCAGACATGTTTTGATTTACCTCTTCCTATCTCACACCACGATGAAGGATTCGGAAACTTTCTTGAAGAATGTGTACAACACACATGCCCCTCACTACAATACTATTCGCAATTGGTTCCATCGTTTCGAAAAAGATGACTTCTCGCTCGATGAAAAGGATCGCTCTGGGAGACCCGTGAGTTGGATTTGGACAAGCTGAAGCACGCATTGCAATCGGATCCATTTCAATCTAGCCGTGAACTAGCTGTCACATTCGGAGTTCACCATAGCACAGTCCTTGAAGGTTTGAAGTCTCTTGGAATGAGAAAACTTTTTGGTCGATTCATACGTCATCACCTGACTCAAGCCAACCTTGACCGCCGAGTCGACGATTCGATTACTCTTCTCACTCTCCACGCGGGCGATCGATGGCTGGACCGGCTAATAACCGGAGATGAGAAGTGGGTCTTCTACGATAATCACCACAGGAAATCCCAGTGGGTTGGAGAAGGAGAGAGCCCACAGGATGTCCCCAAACCCGACCTTCATCCGAAAAAAGTTATGCTCTCTGTGTGGTGGGGAGTGGACGGCCCCATCTACTGGGAACTTCTGCCCGAGGGCAAAACAATAACTGGAGACCTCTACACTACTCAACTACGAAACCTCAAGAAAGCAGTCGACCGTTCGGCCCTGAAAGACAAGAAAGTGTACTATCAACATGATAACGCTCGCCCACATGTTTCGAAACAAGTGAAGCAGGAGCTGATGGGATATGGATGGAATGTTCTCCCTCACCCCCCGTATTCTCCTGATCTTGCTCCTTCCGACTATTGGTTATTTGGCGATATGACACGTGCCTTCGAAGGAAGAAGCTTCAATTCCCGTGGAGCGGTCGAAGCGGCACTCAAACAATACTTTGCCTCACGCCCGGCTGGATTCTACCGCAATGGAATCCATAAATTGAGGGAACGTTGGAGACATGTTGTTAATAATGATGGACAATATAATTAATTATTCGGTTATTTTTTCTTTGAGAAATAAACTATTGAAAAAGTGACAAAGACTTTCCCGCCAACCTAATAGGAACTATGATAATCGAGCTTGAAGCGCAAGACTTCCACTCAAAGCATAGACAGTAATCTAGAACCTCCATAACTTTCTTCAAACTCAAAAATTTTCAGAGATTTAAAGAGAAAAATGTGAAACTCATCAAGCTCTACGAAATGATATAAAATGTTTTAAATAATTTTCCAGATCTCTTACGCCAATGTTCGTGTAATCCCCCACGAGATGAGCTTCCCACAAATTGGAGGTTTGAAGCATATTCGTGTCAATAATTCATCAGGAAAACGGATTGCTTATATGGTCAAATGCTCGGATAATATGCTATTCAGTATCAATCCAGTTTTTGGAATCATTGAAACTGACCGAGATGCGCAGATTAATATTTTGAGAGAGAATGGAGAGGCTAAGAATGATAAGCTGGTTATCATCACGGCAGCGGTAAGTTTGAACAGAATTATCTGGATTCCTGTGAAAGGTATCGAAAACTTGTCAACTGATAAAATGTTTGTCATAGTGTCACCAATATTTAATCAGTTGACAGCTCTTTGATATCTTTCAAAGAAACCCAGATAATTAGGCTTGAAAGAATTTTTGGGCCTATCAAAGCAGTTATCACAACCTTCAAAAACATTTTAAAGGTGGGGGGACATGAAAAAAATAATGTCCTTGAAATTCCGTTCAAAGATGCCCCTCGAGGAGTTGAACTTGTGAGGGCGAGGATTGAGGGTGCGGCGCCGCTACCGACTGAGCCACGCGGGCAAAGAGAAAGCGGACGCCCGATTGCATACATAAAGGCGAGGACGACAGCTGTACGCAGAGTGACATTAAGCGTTGTACACCGTGACGGTAGAATGCATATTCTAGCTACAAAAAAACTACGAAAAATCTCCTGTTCCCCCACCTTTAATGGAACCGTAATACTTTTTTGCAGCACTCTGACAAGAGCAAGACTGCTGAACAGACATTTTCGGATCTCCATCATAACAACTCCCACAACTACAACATCAATGTGGTTCCACTTTTGACTCAATGAACTTCTTATGATTTAATGAAGATGTGAATTATTTCATTTATAGTGATTTCTAAGCTTTGATACTTGTTATAGTTATTCTTATTGCTTCATTTAAAATGCTTGATCATTATAAAAATGGTTCAATTGTTAAATGTAGCACACATATGGGTTTCAGTTCTGAATATTTCCTGTATTATTGTCACTAGTTCTGGTGTGGAAGAAATGCTAAACTGAAACTTTTTGGAAATTTCAAATTTTCATGAAACAGTAAAATTTTTTATAAAGAACCGGTCAATAAGATATACAAAAACGGATTTTTCAGTTGAATTTGACCATTTTCAGGAATCTGGAGCTCGGCTGTTAAGTTTCCGATCACTTTCAAATGTTTGGAGGCTATAAAACAGACTTATCGTAAAAACTCTATTACACAGCCATGGCACTCTATTGTTCGAAGGTGGTCTGAGGCGGCACTGTATTAGGGGCTGGCACTTTATTGTTCGGCGCTAATTACCTACTGAAACTCAACACAAATACTGCCCGGAGTTTCTCTCAATTCTATTAATTAATAAGAAAAACTTTGTGATCCCTCATTGAATCACTACCGTTTCGACTTTTAAAAAATTCTCCAGTACTTTCTTTGTCTCCGGGCTGTCCGAGAATTTTTTGTAAAAAATCAGAAATTCTTGAACTTTTACCCACAACGACTTGTCTCCGGCTTGGCCCAAACATCTCCGGCTTCGCCCAAACAACCCCTCTCATCCCTATGCAATTGATGGCCTCTCCATTACATCATCCTCCCCCATCCGTGATCTGGGTTTATTAACAGATTCCAACCTTAAATTCTCAGATCATATTAATCGTGTCTCCTCCCTTGCCCTTCTCCGGTGTAAACAACTCCTCAAATCCTTTAACTCCAAATCCCCCGAATTCTACCTCGCCCTTTTCAATTGCTACGTCTTGCCAATTCTTGAATATTGCTCGGTCATATTTTCCCCCCATCCTGATTCCAAATTGTCTAAAAAACTTGAGTTCCCCCTTCGTTTCTTCTCCAAAACTATTTGTCAACGTTGTAATATACCATTTTCGTCTACCCCCGGTGCCTCTTATCCTTCCAGACTCCAAATTCTCAATTTTTTCTCTTTGCGTCATAGACGCCTTAAATCTCAGTTAATGCTTCTGTACAAAATAATCAACCTCACTTCTTACATTCCCCATCCTGAATCTCATTTCCGCTTATCTAACTCTGCCCGTCGCCCCATGACTTTAATTTGCCTCAATCCCCATATTAATGATTTCTTTGCATCCACCATCCCATTTTGGAATGCCATAACTGCCAATGTACCCCAATTCCTCACCCCCGTCCCAATTTGAAAATCTCCTTGATTCTTCTATTTCTCGCTACTAGCTATTATCCTTATTTTTAACACATGTATTTTACTGTATATAATTCCTCCCTTTTCCATTATTTTTCTCTTCTTAAAGGTGGGGGGACCGGAGATTTTTCGTAGTTTTTTTGTAGCTAGAGTATGCATTCTACCGTCACGGTGTACAACGCTTAATGTCACTCTGCCTACAGCTGTCGTCCTCGCCTTTATGTATGCAATCGGGCGACCGCTTTCTCTTTCCCCGCGTAGCTCAGTCGGTAGCTGCGCCGCACCCTCAATCATCGCCCCAACAAGTTCAACTCCTCGAGGGGCACCTTTAAACGAAATTTCGAGAACATAATTTTTTTCATGTCCCCCCACCTTTAAAATTCTCCTTCGTTGAAGGTCCAGTGTCCCCATCTTTCCTGAGCGGTCTCGGTGGCAGCGGTTTGGCGGTGGTGCGGGCTGGCTGGGCTCCAATCGCTGCCTTTTTCTTATGTACTGTTGGTCACCGCTCTGAAAATAAATAAATCTAAAATCTAAATCTAAATCTAAACGACATCAAATCAGCAGTGGCACTGTTTTAGAGGCTGGCATTCAATTGTCTAATAGTTTTTACGGTATATTGGAAACTTTGTATTCACAGTATTTTTTGAAAATTCCTACCGGTTTCTGAAAGACATCCTTTTTGTTGTCCGTTTGTACTGAAAGCAGGAAAAAGGCAGGTGTTTTTCCGAAATTATTACATACAGTGGCGAGAAGTGGTAAGGAGAATTTTTTCGAACATTCATAACTTTGTTCAAAATTGCTCAATCGACTGGAAATTTTGCATAAAAGTAGTTGTAAAATCCAAAAACAAAGGTTTTCCAGGAGTTTCTTCTCCAGCAGATTTCAATGATGACAAAATAAAGGTCCGATGGGCTGATTACTGTCATAAAACAATAGAACGTCATCAAAATGTGAATAACACCATGACAATGAGAACGATGATAATAATATGATGACAATGAGTTGACTCCGCCCCTTAGAATTTTTCTTATAAATACCCGGCAGGTCCATTAGTTTTCATTCCAATTCCCCTATTATATTTAGCCGGACGATCTTCTGTATGAACGTCGGATTTATATTCTTTCTGATTTTCCTGATGTTATTCTGTTTATTCTATTCTGTTCTTCTCTCTAGAACAACCCAACCTGCGGAACAATCTTTCAACAAAACGGAACCAGCTCCAAAAATTGCCGCTAAAGTGCAATGGTCAATCGAGTCAGTGTGCAAATACGGACGCCGTTTAGATTTCTCTTCAAATGAGCCTAACGCTGTCTTTGTCATCAAAACGTTGTCTAAAGAGTGAGTGAGAACTTTGCATAGATCTAAAAATCATGATTTTTTTCAGGATACATGGATATGTCTTGTCAATGCTCACCATTCATCCACTCAAAAGAGACGAAGTCGATGATAGTGAATTGGGACCATTCTTGAACACGTTCAACAACAGTGTTAAAGCGTTTCGTAAACAGGTAAGTAGCCTTACTTATATTTTCGCCAGACTTTTTGTTGAATGTCTTAATTTCAGAATCCACATGAAGTTCTTCTATCGAAAGAGAATTCGCCCGCTCTATCGGAATGGATCATGGATACCTCCAATACAAGGAGAACGTTTTCAATTCAACGAAGAATTGCCAAACGCCCTAATTCACTTTTGTAGTAACTTTTTTTAAAATTGTTCACTTGCGTTTAAAAAAAAATTAAAAAATTCAAAATTCTTGTTTTTTTAGTTTCGCAAAAGAAATTGTTCCGTATTATTATCAGAAGGTCTCACTTTGTGACACTTCGATACTGTCCCGAATGCTCCATGTCGGTTCCGAAAGGATGCGATAAAGGCCTGCGGCATTGTGGAAGATTATGGAGCATCTCCTCAGACAACCGGATGGTCAACGTAGCTGAGCCGACCGAACGGGTTTCCGTGCACACAACAAAGGTTTCGTCGGTCTGACACACAATGCCTCAGGGTAAGTCACTAAAAATTTGAAATTGAAAACACTTCACATTTTCACTTATGACTAGCAATTCATCTTGAACTGGCTCATCTCGAAGACCAAAGTCACGTCGTCAATGCGGGCACAAAGATCATCTATATGCACCACAAAGTAGTCTGACTTCTCGATTTTTTCAAATATTTGACTATTAGCCTGACGGTTAACATCCCAAATTTTACTTGTTCTCAATAAAAGCTTGAAGGGGAGAAATTCCGTTTAAATATGACCCTCGAGGAGTTGAACTTGTGGGTGCGGCGCCGCTGAGCCATTCGGGCGAAAAGAGCGTTTTCCCGGTGGTAAACATAAGAGTGAGAACCGAATGTACACCATACTTTTAATCCGGGCCTTAATCCGGGCCTTTCGCGGGCCCTGCCATAGCTTCTTTCAGAATCAATGTTTTCGAACCAACTCAATCAGGTATGATAGAGCTCCACAAGTAGTACAAAACGGTATTATTTGGAATACTGTATCTTGTCTATGAACAGAGTTACAGAGCAAAAGGAGCAAAAAAAAGCAGGGCCCGCCCCGGGCCTTTATTTTTGGCCCCAAAATTGGCTGTTTTTATGTTTTATAAGGGGAATAAATTTAAGATTTATAAGAATTATACAAAATTTGACAAAAAAATTCAAAAAAAATTCACAGATTTTCGCAAATCCCATTTTTCTCCGTTTTCCTTCGTTTTTCATCGTTTTTGCTCAAGTTTTCGTGGTAATTAATCGAAAAAAAATTAATTGTATAATTTTTGTAATGTTTTATTGCCTGTTCGAACCATTTGGTAAATTGCTAATTTGTGATTGTTTCCTTCAATCAATGATCTAGAAAATTGTGAAAAGAAATGAGAAAAATTTCAATTACCATGAAAATTGAGGAAAATTGAGAAAAATTGGGAAAAAAACGGAAAATTGGGGTAAAAACGAAGGAATATTGAGAAACAAAGAGAAATGAAATAGAATTGAGAAAAAGTGGTATTGAGGAAAGTATCGGCCTAAATTAAGAATTAAAAACCAGAGTTTGTAAAACTTGTCAAGCTTATTTTACAGCTCTCCATTTTCAAAAAGAACAATGTGATCCTGAAGTTCCGAAATTCTCAGATTCCGAATTCTGGAATTCCAAAGTTCTGAAATTCTGAGATTTCGAAGTTTTGAAGTCCTGAGATTCTGAAATTCGGAAATTTTTAGATTCTCAGATTTTGATGTTCCGAAATTTTCAGATTCCGAAATACTGGAATTCCAAAGTTCTGAAATTCTAAGAATTCTGAGATTTTCAAGCTCTGAAGTTCAGGAATTCAGAAACTCCCTCATAAAAAAATTGTACCCCCGAATCACAAGCGTTGAACCCCTGAATGAAATGGATTGTACCCCAGAATCATTGATAGTTTGTACCCCCGAATTTTTGTACCCACGAATTTTGTACCCCCAAATCACCAATTTTGTACCCCTAAATCAGTTGTACCCCCTTGTACCCCCGAATCATTGTACCCCCCCC